TATAATAGCAGTGATAACCAAGATGAGGGTGCTCAAGTTTATGGAATGAATGAATGAAGGAAGGTAGGAATGAGCAAGCAGCACAAATGAATAATCAATTTTAGAAAATACAGTATCTGGGTCTTTTATTTGTATATTTGTTTTGGGAAATCAAGTTTCTAATAATTTCATTTTTTTAATATTAACAATTATTTAGATTATTTAAACATTCTGCTGTTGGACATTTAGGATATTTTCAACTTACTCCTATTTTATACCAGTAAGAAAGGCAAAGACCAAAGAGTTCTTTAGTGCCAAAGAGTTCGGGGCTCCACTCCTCAGTAGGGAAATCCCAAGGGACCAAGTTTGTTATCACTGAACCAAACCTAAAATATACAGTGCCATTGAGTCAGTTCTGACTATACTATCAGACATAGTAGAACTATCCCCATATAGTTTCTAAGCCTGTAAATCTTTTAGGAAGCATACTGTCTTATCTTTCTCCCACAAAGTGGCTTGTGAGACCACTAACCTTTCAGTTACCAGGTATTTTGCCACCTGGCTTCCTCTCCAATTTAGCTAGGGCCATTATTAATTAAGGAGACCCAGTGGCACAGTGGTTAAGCACTTGGCTGCTAACTGAAAGGGCAGTGATTCAAACTCACAAGCTGCATCATGAAAAAAAGATGTGGTGGTCTACTTCTGTAAATATTTACAGCCTTGGAAACCCTATGGGGCAGTTATACTTCGTCGTGTCAGAATTGACTTGATAGCAGTGGGTTTGGTTTTGGTTTTATTATTAATTAGTATGCTGCTGTCTAGGGGCTGACTGCTTCTCACTCTGGTGTCATCTGTAAACATATCAGATCCATTTTTTTTCCTCCTCCTTACCTCCTACACCATTCCTCAAACAGAGGAAGGGGTTGTCACAAAGGTTGAGAGACTCAGTGTATATATCTATACAAGGGCACTAGATGGGGATAGGGGAAATTATCCACACATACAGTGCCCCCATCCATCCCCTCCACACAACTGGTTTACCCCTTTATCTAGGAGCTCATGCAAAGTGCTACTCAGAGTTAGAAATAATATTATAGGCTGTCCTTTCCAATCTCATAACAGATCCGAAAAATGATTTGGCCAAGGTCTCTGAAATAGTAAGTGGCAGAACCAAGACTTGAATTCAGGTCTCCTAACATCCATCTGGAGCTCTAGTGGCCCAGTGCCTACGGCATTTGACTGCTAACCAGAAGACCCACCAGCCACTCCCCTGAAGGAAGACAGGGCACTCTATTTCTGTAAAGATTTACCAGCTCAGAAACCCAATGGGAGTCACTATGCGTCAGAATCCACTCCATGGCAGTAGGTTTTTTTTTTTTTTTTTTTAAACATCCATCTAAGTAGCCCTGGAGGCACAGTGGTTAAGAAATCCATTGCTAATATATACATTTAACACAATCCCAATCTAGATTTCAACAAAATTTTTTAAGGACACAGAAAACTTAATTACTAATTTCATATGGAAAGGAAAGAGACCTCAAATAAGCAGAGCACTTCTCAAGAAGAAAAACAAAGTGGGAGGTCTCACACTCCCAGATCTTAAGAACTACTATACAGCCACAGTAGTCAAAACAGCATGGTATTGGTACAATGACAGACAGATAGACCAATGAAACTGAATAAAAAGTCCAGATATAGAACCATCCATCTATGGACAACTGATCTTTGACAAAAGTCCAAAACCCATTAAATGAGGAAGAGACACCCTCTTTAACAAACGGTGCTGGCAAACTGGATATCCACCTGTAGAAAAATGAAACAAGACCCATACCTCACCCCATAAATAAAAACAGACTCAAGCTTGATCAAAGACTTAAATGTAAAACCCAAAACTATAAAATTCATTAAAGATAAAATAGGGGCAAATCTGGGAGCCCTAATTTATGGCATAAATAGACTATCAGGCATAACCCAGAATGTGCAGGAGATAGAAGAGAAGCTAGATGACTGGAACCTTTTAAAAATTAAATTCTTATGTGCATTGAAAGACTTTGTCCAAAGAGTAAAAAGAGAACCTACAGATTGGGAAAAATATTTGCCTATGACATATCTGATAAAGGACTTATCTCCAAAATCTATAGAAAACTTCAACACCTCAACACCAAAAAGACAAATAACCCAATTCACAAATGGGCAAAAGACATGAACAGACACTTCACCAAAGAAGATATACAGGCAGCTGACAAACACATGAGAAATTGCTTGCAATCATTAATCATTAGAGAGATGCAAATCAAAACAACGAGATATCATCTCACCCCAGCAATAATAGCAAAGTTCAACAGGTCAGAAAATAACAAATGCTGGCGAGGTTGTGGAGAGATTGGAATCTTGTGCACTGCTGGTGGGTTTGTAAAATGGTACAACCATTGTGGCAAACGGTATGGCATTTCCTTAAAAAACTGAAAATAGAAGTACCATTTGACCGAGCAATTCCATTACTAGGAATACATCCTAAAGAGGTGAGAGAGAGCGCACAAACAGACATACGTATACCTATGTTCATCGCAGCAAAATTCACTACAGCAAAGAGATGGAAACAACCTAAATGTCCATCAGTGGATGAGTGGATAACCAAATTATGGTATATGCACACAATGGAATACTATGCTATATTAAAGAACAGTGAGGGATACGTGAATCATCTCACAACATGGATGAACCTGGAGGACATCATGCTGAGTGAAACAAGTCAATCGCAGAAAGACTAGTACTGTATGAGCCCATTACTGTAAAAAGACAGAGAAGGGTTTGCTTAGGAAAGAGAACTCACTTAGTAGGTTAGCGGGATGGGGAGGAAAGGGGAGGGATTAATTTCAGGCTCGTTGGGGCCTACACGCTGACATGGGTAGGGGGAGGGATATACAGGCAGGATCTATGACCACCATGATAAGATTAGGAAATGCGAGGACACTGAATTGTGCACATAAGAGATAGACGACAGATACTAATATCAACCAATATGTCTACAATACTGCATTGCCATTAACACCAAACACCAGGCTACAGATGAACACATAAAGACCTGAGATGATCAGATGGGGGGGGGGCGGTCAGTGAACAGATGTATACTCTAGACCAAGGATAGATTCAGCTGAGGCTAATTTTGCACAGACACCAGTGATACAAAATACCTGCAGTCCTTACAGAAACAATAGAAGACAGACACAGAGTAATCCCTCACAGACAACCAGACACTACTGGAGAGCAATCCAATAGCTCTATCGTCTCAGCACCATAGTACTGGGGGACACTAGACTCAATTGGCACAACAAAATACATAAAAGCCTTGCTCCACATCCTGCATTGGTGAGTAGCAACTGGGGTCTTAAAAGCTTCCAAGCAGCCATCTAAGATGCAGCTAACGGTTTCCTAGCGTCAATAAGACACAATGGTCCTTGAGACCAGAAGAACTAGATGGTGCCCGGCAACCAATGCCAACCACTCAGGAAAGGATCAAATCTGGAGATCCTGGATAGAGTGGAAGGGAAAATGTGGAACAAAATTCAAAAACTCAATAATGACCAGAATTACTGGTCAGATGAAATCTGGTCAGACCCCCAATACTATGGCCCTGGAATACATTCTGTGCCTGGAATAAAACGCACCCCCAGGGACTGGCTTTCAGCCCAATAGTTAACAAGATGTACACCCATACTACTCAACCCAGGATGATGCACTCACATACTCTATGGTAATACATCCCTTAGAGCAATAGAAACTAAATGAGCACGTTACATTGAATGTAAAACAAGCAGAAAGAGAGAGAGAGAGAGAGAGAGAGAGAGAGAGAGAGAGAGAGAGAAAGTAATCCATTGCTAACCTAAAGTCAGAAAAATCAGCAGCCCAAACTCGGTAAAGATTACAGCCTTGGAAACCCTGTGGGGCAGTGCTACTCTGTCCTATAGGGTCACTATGAGTCGCACTTGACTTCTTGTTGTTGTTGTTGTTAGCATTCAACTAGGAATCTCTGGGTGGGAAAACAATTACACGTTCTACTAGCCCAAAGGTTAGCATTTCAAAACCATCCAGAGATGATTAAGAAGACAAGCCTGGCAACCTGCTTCCAAGAAGTCACAGCCTTGCAAACCCTACGGAGTACTTCGACTCTGTACACATGGGGTCGCCCTGAGGCCGAGTGGATTCCACTGCAACTAACAACATCCTTCTAGTTGACGGAATGGGGCAGAGCCGTTTTGTTAAAGTATTTATTCAACACATATATTGAGCACGTGTCAGGTACCGTTTTAAGTGCTGAGGATTCAGTAATGGGGATGGGGAGGGGAGAAGACACAATCTCTGCTCCTCATAGGGATTTCATTCTAAAAACTTAAGTACTTTGCCTTGCCATCCTGGAAAAAAACCCCAGTGACCTGAGTAGGAGCGATGGGGTCTCCCATGGAAGGGAATCCCATCCTTCCTCAGTTTCTCTGCTTTCTACCGAGAGACGGCTGATTTACTGCAGCAGCCTAAGGGAGCGTCAGAAACCTCGATAGTGCTCTCCTACTGCTTCGGCAAATCCTGGCGGGGCCGGATCCAGGGCGCCGCCGCTCACCAGCTCAAGTCGGATCATTAGCTTCGGCCTCTCTACCCTCTCCATGTTCCTGCGGACAGTTGGAGGACACAGAAATAGAACCCCGCTCTGCGCCATCCCTCAGGCAAAGGAATGCGGGCTGGTGAGAATCCTCCCAAGGCAGTGGCGCTGCGTGTGTAATACCCAGACTGGAGGAGGGATTTCCTCCTGGGCTTGGGGGTTTATGCAGCAAACTGCTCTCTCATGCTTCCCTATTGAACACTGCAGCCACACGCTCTTTCCAGCCCAACCGAGGCCACTGCAGCATCCCCACCTCTCTCCGGCCCCACCCGTTAGCTCCGACTCCAGAGCCCTACTGCAGCCTCCCAGCCCTCTGCTCCTTTTTCTTCGCCACTTCCTGGTTGCTATGGAGACACACGTCATTTACGTGCCGTGCGTCGCCTTGGAAACAGAGGAGCATCCGCGGCGGGGCTAGGAGACCCGCCCCTGACGCTCCAACCACACTCGCGGGCGCTGCCGGTTAAAGGCTGAGGGGAGTCCAGAGCTGGACCTGCCGTTGGCCTCCGCCTCGACCTGAGCCCCTCGGCAAACGCCTCTGTGACTCAGGAAACCTGCAGGCACTCGCTGCTCGTGACGCCGGGAGGGCGGCGCTGACACGGACGCAACCCCGGAGGCCAGGCAGGGCAGGGAGCTTTCGCCCCGGGACGAGCCCGAGAGACGCCGGCCCCGGGACCCTAGCCGGGTCCTCGTCCCGCCGCCTCTCCCCGACGTCCCTCGAGCCTGCCTGCTCTCTCTGCCCAGGACTCGTGTCTTCACGTCGGCTGCCGACCCCTTTCGGGAGCCTCCTCTTCCCTGGGCTTCTCCCCGCCTCCTCCGGGGACACCCTTCCCCGCCCCTTCCCCACCCCGGAGCCCGGGCGGGACCAGACCCAGAGCTGCCACCGCTCGCTTCTGCCATTCAATGGAGGACGGTCTGCTGGAGATCATGACCAAGGACGGCGGCGACATGCCGGCGCCTCTGGAGGTGTCCACTGTGCCGGCGGTGGGGGACGTGATCTCCGGGGAGTACAACGGCGGCATGAAGGAACTGATGGAGCACCTGAAGGCCCAGTTGCAGGCCCTGTTTGAGGACGTGAGGGCCATGCGGGGAGCCCTGGACGAGCAAGCTTCGCACATCCAGGTGCTCTCGGACGACGTGTGCGCCAACCAGCGGGCCATCGTCTCCATGTGCCAAATTATGACTACGGCGCCCCGCCAGGGCGGTCTGGGCGTGGTCGGCACCAAGGGGGGGTTCCCGGGCGCCCCCCAAGAGCCAGAGAACCCTTCACCTGGGAGCGGGGACAGCGGCTTGCTGGGTCGCGATCCCGAGGACGAGGAGGACGACAATGACGAAGAAGAGAAGGAAGTTCCCAGCCCCGCCACACCCACCAGTCACTGTGAGCGCCCCGAGAGCCCCTGTGCTGGTCTCCTTGTGGGGGACGGGCCACTTGTGGAGCCCCTCGATCTGCCCGACATTACCCTGCTGCAGCTGGAGGGCGAGGCGTCCCTGTGAGGGAACCCCGCGGGGGCACCTTTCCGGGCTGGCTGTGGGTTTCCCAGTGCATGACGCGAGGGGACTGAACTGCGCGGTGCAGCACTCCGATGGCTGCTCTCGTGTGTCGAGCAGAGAGAGACTCCCGAGGAACGATTTGTAGAGTGAAGGACTTTGGGAGCATCAAGAATTCTTTCTGCACAACCAAGCGAGAGGTAGCAAACGGCGGAAAGGTGAGGTTCCGGGAGAGGAAGCGCCCATCTCTGGACTCCCATCAATCCCCCTACCCTACCCTTACCCCTCTCGGCCAACAGGAGAATCCCTGACTTGTGTAAATAAAATTCTGCTTTTTCTATTCTGAAAAAGGACTTAACTAGGACTACGGCAAATCTCTAAAGATTTACCTAGGAATTAAGGATTGGGGTATTCTGTTCTGGCAACAGGACGTTTACCCTTCTGCTGAAACCCAAGGAATTCAGTGCTCTGCAGAAGCTTCTCCCTCTCACAGATCTCTGCGGCTGCTGATTGGTAAAGAATGCTTGAGGAGGGAACTGCAGCCCTAGGAATCTGGGTGAATGGGGTTCCAAGGGCCCCTGGGCTGGGAGGAGCTGGCTATGAATGTGCATGAAGACCTAATAGCTCAACCTCTAGGATTTTGCATGCAGAGCGGATCCTGCCTTGTCACTGACTTCACCTGGGATTGCTTTTCCACTCACTGGGGCTTAGAGAACAAAGAGCCCAGCTCCCAGGCAGAGACTCGGTGCTCAGCAGCAGCCCAGATTTAGGGGACATTTGAGGGACTCTTGGGAGCCGCAGCCAAAAGCTCTCTCTTCTGGCTACACCTGCTTAACTTCAGTTCCTTTTCCTGCCAGTATATCCCTGCCCGACTGCCTCTTGGTGTTGACTCCATGATGTCTTTGTGTGTTGTGTGTCCACTTGTGTAGTAGTGTGTGAGCCCTGAGGGGCAGGGCTTGTGGCTCTGGTGTTAGGTTCAGGGGGCTTCTAGCCCTTCTGTGAGTCCCGAGCAATCATGGCGCTTCCCCCTCTCCCCCCTACCCTCATCAGGGCATGGCGCATGTGGCTGTCCTGAGATTCCTTAACTGATGTGCCTCCCTCCCCCCTCCTCAAGTGGTGACTTTGTGTGCCCTTTCCCCTCCTTTGTGTACCCCTTCTCAATGCTTTCCTTGGTGTTAACCTTAATAAAGAGGCGTCATCACCCCCCTTTGCTGACTGGTACTAGCGGGATGTCAGGGTGGGGTTTCTGGGCCCACTGCATGGACCAGGGCTTGGTGGAAACTGCAGAGACCCAGCTTTCCCTCCTCTCTCCTTGCCTCTAGTTCCAAGGAGTTGACCCACTGTGGGTGGCACAGTCACTGCCAGCTTTGCCTGCTTTTCCCTTTTGTCCTGGACCTTACCTCAAGCTGGACTAGGGAAGAAGGGGGTATGTGTCGAGACTCCCAAACTAAAACGAATTTTTAGTAACCAGAATTCCAGATGTGCTAAAGACTTCTTTTTAATGAAGCACCTGGCCCCTGGGAGACAATTGAGAAGTCTGGGTCCTGAAATGGCAGGCGTGACACCTGTAATGCTCAGCTGCAAACCAAAAAGTTGGAGGTTTGAGCCCACCCAGAGGCACCTCGCAAGAGAGGCCTGGTGATCTACTTCTGAAAAATCAGCTACAGTATGGAGCATAGTTCTACTCTAATACACATGCAGTGGTACTAGTTAGAGTAAACTACATGGAAAAGGATTTTTTTTTTTTTTTTTTTTTTAATTTGGGCGGGATTGCCTAAGATTGCTGGGAGATAAGAGTGACACATTGCAAAGAAAACCATAATAACTGCCTCAGGCCTCTAGTGGAGAATGCCAGTAAGGTGTTCCCTGGAGACCTTAGACTGCCATCAGCTCTAGTCGTTCCCTTGGGCAATGGAGATTTCCCAAGGCTCCCCTGAAACAGAATTTCAGAGCCAAATGAAGTAGGATGCTGTGTGTGTGTGTGTGAGTGTGTGTACACATGTGTATGTGCTGCAGGGAGGTAGAACAGTAGAGTCACAAATCTGGGATAGAATCGCAGTTCCAACACTGAATTGACTTCTTGAGACTTTCCTGTTAGAAACTTAGTTTCTTAATGTGTAGAATGAGAATAAAAAGTTTTTGGGGAGGATTAACTATGTAACTAGGAAGTCTTGTGCAAATGTTAGTTTCCTTACATTTCTCTTGGGGGTGAGGTGGGGTGGTGACTGGCTCCTTTGGGAAAACAAAACTGCCAAGAGAAAGTTCTGGAAGGTTTCATTTTATATAATCATTCCCTAGCTCTTGAGTGTAGCCGTTGGAATGCTGCTGTTAAGTGAATTTCAAGTGGTATTCCTAACCTGGGACTCATGGGAAGGGGTTACTATTGAACTTCATGGGACTGCAACCCCTTGAAATTGAATGCAAAATCTTATAATATGTGCATTGTCTAAGAGAAGGTCAACTGTTACCACTTAATTCTTAAAAAGATACATAAATCAACCCCCCCGAGATTCACTGAGCTAAAAGGTAAGGAGATTTTTTAAACTTGAAAACCCTTATCTTCCAGGATAGAATTAAGAAAAAGGGGGTGGTGAGATTCCTAAGCTAACTCAGGTCTTTCTCTTATAAACTGTAAGCTTGGGGGTCAGCCCTGTGCACATAGGATGACCAGAGGAAGCCTCGAGTTATGCAGCGGTTGAGGAATGTGTGTTGGGGGCCCTAACGACGGAAGCTAAACATGTAAGTGGGGAAATGTCCCTGAGGACTGGGAGATGGTTTTCTGCTATAGTTCCAGTATTAGCACTAACAACAGTGATAGCTATCTTTGATTAAGCACTTATTGTATGCTTAATTTATTTCCCAACAACCATATGAAATTATTATTACTTCTACTCAGCAGTTCAAGAAACAGACTCCAAGACTTGCCCAAGGTCACATGCTAGTACTTGGCAGAACTAGGACTTAAACCCAGGTCTGCCTGACTTAAAGAGCTCTAGATTGTGGTGCAGTGCCTAAGACATTTGACTGCTAACCAGAAGGTCAGCAGCTCAAACCCACCAGCCACTCTGCAAAAGGAAGGTGGGGCAAACTACTTCTGTAAAGATTGACTGCCTTGGAAACCCAGTGGAGGTCACTATGAGTGGAATCAACTTGATGGCAGTTGTTTGTTTTTTTTTTATTTCTATTTAGAGGTTAAGCTCTGGTAGCATAGTGCCTAAGGCACTTGACTGCTAACCAGAAGGCTGGCGGTTCAAACCCACCAGCTACTCCTTGAAAGGCAGGTTGAGCAATCTACTTCCATAGTGATACTGCCTTGGAAACCCAAGGAGGGGTTACTATGAGTCGGGTCTGACTGACGGTATAAAAATAACAACAAATTGCCATATTATCTGGGTCTCCAGAGGAGATTTATAATTTCCCCAATCTAAAGAGTCCCAAAAAGGAAATAACCTTGGTTTCAGTCACTTTTCCTTTTTCTCAGTTGGAATAAGAAATTACGGTTCAGGTTTTGGTTAGTGACTCTTTTTAAATTCCAACGGCTGGCCATGCAATAATGAGACCAAGAAGATGGCCTTGTGGGCCTGCTCCTTGAGAAGAAGCCACCATTGTCTCCAGGTATTCCCTGACACAGCTCTATCCTTATGCCTCTTTCCTATTCCCTGTAGCTCATATCCTCCAGAGTCTTGCCTGAATCCAAATGGTTGTTTACCTGTTTAGCTTCTGTAGAAAGTTCTGTTTGAGCCCTTTTATTTCAGTGTCCCTTCCTGTGCCCACTTTCCTTAACATGTCATCAATCCCTTAGCCCAGGGCCTCCTAGAAATTCTCTAGCAACCCCCGACCCCCTAGTCCAGACAGATAAAAATATCCACAGAGAAGGCAATTCTTTAGCCTTCTTCAGGCACTTGCAGCAGTATCTCACAGGTATCCATCACAGGTTGGGCCCCCATCTTCTTCTTCCCCATTTCCCACTCTCCTCTTGAGTGTAGCCTTTGGAATGCTGCTGTTGAGTGAATTTCAAGTGGGATTCCTAATGTGGGACTCATGGGAAGGGGTTACTATCCAACTTCATGGGACTGCAACCCCTTGAAATTGAATACAAAATCTTGTAATATGTGCATTGTCTAAGAGAAGGTCTACTGTTTTCACTCAATTCTTAAAAAAGATATATAAATCAAATTCCCTTCATCCCTCAGTAAGAATAATGAGCTAAAAGGTAAGGAGATTTTTTAAACTTGAAAAATACTAAAGAAGAAATTATCCTGCCTGAGTCTGATATTCCTAGCCCTCTTGCCTCATGTCTCCTGATATTTTTCAACACTAAACTGCAGTCTTCGTATCTTTTTGCTAACCATCTACTCAACAAATTCAAATTATATTGATATCTACTATGTGCTCAGAATCCTGACTTCCACTGCTTCTGAGTCTGCTAGTACCTGGGGTATGCCAGAGCAATGCTGATATATGGAGGTGAGGAGATGGCCTCCTCCATGACATCGAGCTGCACTTTACCTTGGGACCCAGTATGACATTGTGTGCACCCAAAGTTTCAGAGTTACTCATAGCTGCTCTGAGTTCCTGGCCTACCCATCTCTCACCAGTCTAAGGGACCTTTCCCAGCTCTTAATCTCTTGTTGTTGTTATGTGCCATCAAGTCGGACCTGACTCATAGCGACCCCTCGCTGGGTTTCCCAGGCAGTATCCCTACAGAATAGATTGCCCAACCTTCCTTCCAGGGAGCGACTGATGTGTTTGAACCACCAGCCTTCTGGGTAGCAGTCAAGTGCCTTAGGCACTACACCACCAGAGCTCCTCTTAATTTCTTAGTATGTCTAAATGAAAACACATACAACTTCATAGAAATAAGCTACAACTGTAATCTAGTACAACTCAAATTTGCTCTTAGAGAAATAGTTACTTCTCTAAGAGGCACAAATTGGCCACCAACATAAACAAGCAGTTTTATATGATTGTAGTATCACCACGGACTATGATGGGTCTCTGTTTGAGTTTTCCCAGAACTAAGGAGTGGTTCTTTCCCAAATGTATTTCAGTCTATACTTGCAAGATAGAAAACCACTTGCATCTTTGAAAAGGCAGATTTTCGTCTTTCCCCATCTACATGCTTAGAAATAAGACATTTAGCCAGGAAACATTTAGTTACAGTAAGAAATGATATGGAAGATCATGAGTACTTTTGAATCTTTTATTCTACCCTCCCCCCACACGCCCCTTTTAGATTGTCCTCAGAAGGTGAATTGCCTCAGAAAAACAGTCTTTCTGCTTGGAAGCACTGTGCTTATAGGACTTGTGCTCTATAAATAATGCTGTAATGGTGCCACCTGGCGAGAAATAAAAACATTACAAGGGGACTCCCAGTGAATTTATGGCTTTCAATTTAGCAAGCACTACCAACTGCCTACAAGAGACCTGGCCTTCTGCCAAATGGTGGGTGCCGGGGAAAGAAGGAGAAACTGAATAAATGGAATGTATTTGCGAAGAACACAAAACCCATCCGCGATGAACTCCTAACTGATCTTCCCTAGTCTCTCCCACACAATCTTCAAGATAAATCTTCCTAAACCAGAGCGCTGAACATTCATTCTCTTCAGAAGTCTTCATCACGTTGACAATATTTCCTGAATGAAATATAAAATCTGGGGAACGAGAGCAGTCAAGGTCCTCCCTAATATGGCTTTGGCATATATATTTGCTATATATTTGCCTTTATATTTCATTTTCCTCCTACATTTTCTAGCCATCATTCTACCCGTTTGGAAGCTCATATCCTCTAAGTGGAAGATGGAAATGATGCCCAAGAGTAACTCAGCTCCTTTATTACCCAAATGCACAGGGGTAGGGATGAATTGCCCCTGGGTCTCCAAGTCTATTTCTGTTAGTCATTCTTCTCAAGTGCAGTCAGACACACATTTCCAGAAAAGGAAATTTCACAACCTCGGTCACCTGCACCAGCTTCTCAGGGGCTTTCTGGCAAGGCTGTTCTTCCCTCCTTGTCACCTTTCTTTCTTATGCTATGTGTTAATGGGCAAGGCCCAGAAATAGTATACAAACTTTTTGTGATTATGAACTTTTGCTTTTATTTCTAGGAATAGAGTTCCCCAATTTCATTAAATTCTTAAAGGAGTCTGTAAAGCCAAAAGGATTAGCAAACTCTACACTCAAAATGGGAGCCCCGGTAGCATAGTGC